ATATATATATATATATATATATGTATATATATATATATATATATGTATATATATATGTGTGTATATATATATGTATATGTATATATGTATATGTATGTATATGTATGTATATGTGTGTGTGTGTGTATAGACGGACGGACGATGATATTATTATTATCATCACCATCAATATTAAACATTACAAAATACAGCCCATAACACTTTTATGACCCATTTAATTAAATAAAATACTTTTCAAGACTTAAAAGATATGTATTTATTAAAAATGCATCTACCTGCATGTTAGACATATTTGCCATCATTCTAGGGGTAATGGTGAAACAAAAACAATTTTTTTTTAATCTAAATGTTTTGGTATGGTTTAATCTGCTCTAATTTCTGCCTCTACCTTTTCATGAAGAGCAAAAATGATGCCTGACTGATTAAAATTTATATGTATGAACTTTCTTCCAAAACATAGTATTTTTTTTTATATTTTTTTTGCAACCTATGATAAGCGATGAGTTCTCTTTTTAATGTGATAAGATTAAATACGGGATTGTAAAAGTGACATATCGTAATTCAAATATTTTTTTTTTTAAAGTAAAACGTCTAAATAAAAACCAAGAATATTATTTGACTTTGTCATAGTGATAGGAATTTGTTTAATCAATACTTTGTATCATTTGATTAAAATAGGAGAAGCCATTCTGGAAAAAATATTTCCTATTAAAATCAGTGACTAAGTACAAACACATCCGTCTACTGAGCACTTTAAAATAATATAAAATAAAAACAAATACGGGTATTATATCCTGATGCGTGCTCATACGGGTATTGTTTCTCAAATATAAATGAGAGAAAACTACATTAGAAACAATTTGTAAGCTTGTTTTTGACCAAACGACAAGCAGATCTGTGCGGCTTAAAATTTGTGTACACACTTTTTTCACTAATTATTTTTCAAGTGGCTAAATTAATATTTAAATTCAACAAGCAACAGCCAGGAATTAGACAAATGTGTAAGAGCAATTAGGACCTATACTTTTACCATAAAGGCAAAGTTATGTGATGTCCAAAACAGTTGTATTGTTTCCCTTTCCTAATATTTTAGCTTCAAATTATTATAGAGCGAGAGGTATGTGGTTTATTTTGTTCAGGGCAGAATGATAAAACATACTATTCTCAAAAGGATTATAGACAGAAGACCTACTGTATTGACAGACCTGATGTGTTGTACTTTCTTTTTTATGATTGAATATTTATACAAAGTTTGGGAAGAATTATATAGTTTAAGTTAAGAAAAAAAACTGCAAAACATATTCAGTGTAATTGTGCTTTTGTCGAAATTATTTTGTTAGGCAGCATTACTAACCTTATCAGTACACAAAAAAACAAACTAACAGGAGATATTTGTTAATATAATTTGCTAAACATAAACATATCGCATTAAAAAAAAACTAATCATGTTTGAGCTCTAATTTGCTAACATACATTCAATTCTCTGAAATATTATGAGTAAAATATTTAGGAAGATCTGCTGCCAACAGGAAACATGAACTCCGTCTGTCTGTCACAAACTGGACTGGTAGTCCTTTTAGGAGTTAAATGAAAACAATGCGTTGTGTTTGCACTGTGGCACTGAAATGTAATTAAATCCACGGTATAGACAGTAACTGTGAATACAATGGGAAATCATAGGATTTCATGACCTGATTAAATATTTACTTTTTAGACAGTGTAAAAAAAAAAAAAGCCCACAGTTAGTGTTGTTGCCTGAAAGCAGCCTGCGCACCTTTTAATTGATTCCCACCAGCGCTGCTTCCCCAGTCAGTGTTAGCTTCCTCCTCCAAGACGACATCAAAGACTTTGTGGACATAAAAACTCCTGTCAGCTCGCTGCTGAGACCGTTCAGAGCTCGATTTGCATTCTGCCTCCGACCTCGGAGACACAAAGCATCAGCGCTTTTTGGAATTTGATCTGGTGTTGAAGGCTGTGTACATGTAGAGATGTTTGCTCAACATATTTGACATCTTTTTTTTTTGTGTGTGTGTAAAATGTAACAGTGGCAATTACACTACAGCTGCTGACGGTGTCAAAGCTTCTGAGCACAGTTTGTATCTTTTGACTCGATTGGTGGTTGTTTTGTTTTTTTATAATAGTCACTGAAGTGAGCACTGAGCTGCCCTGCTAAGGTTTTGGTATCACAGCTAAAGAAAATGTGCTGGGTATATGATATATGGAATAACTTTAAGCTTACATATTAAACAGAATGCCTTGATCGCATTAGACTCTTACTTTCAGCATCTATGGATAGTTTTTCAGCAAACTTGACCTGAAAGACAACAGAACTGCATTCAATAGCGTATATGCAAACATGAGGCTTAAATCTTGTGCCAATGTATTTTGTGAGAAAGTTTTTTTATGAATAATGCATTCTATTAAATTGCTGTGATACACAAGGATGAGCAGCTTGGCGCAACGAGAGGCACCCACTCGACTAATGAGCAGCAAAGTGTTTGAAAGGAAAACAGATTGGAGGAATGTGACTGTGCTCAGGTCCTTTCTTGGCTGCTTTACTCGTTTCCCCTATTAGACTTTATGTCTGTCCACACTCGGTCTCATGCTCTCAGGCTCCATTCTTCATAATCTCCTGTCTTCCTGACGTCGCGGTGGGTGGTGGGGAGAGTGCAGGTGTGCCCAGTTGGAGGCACAGCTGCACCGCTGCTCCAGACACTAGCCGAGCTTGGGATAAAGCCTTCACCAAATTGGCTCGAGGAACAGCTGTACACAGACAGCCAGACCCAGCTTAGTCTTGCCTAGTCCCACTGAGGCCAGTTGGGCTCAAACAAAACCTGCTGGTGTCCAGCTATTTTTTTTTTTTTTTTGGTAAACTAATACTTTAACATAACTTTCCTGGTAGACCTATACTTGTTTCATGTAGGTATTATAGTTTCAAACTATTTCTTAAACATAATTTTAATAAAGGAAGTGACGTTTTTGGAAGAAATTCACATTAAATTTAATTCAGAAGAAAAGTTTCTAACTCGAAACAAATGGTAAATGGACTGTAATTATATAGCACCTTTCTGTCTTATCAAGATACTCAAAGCACTTTACACAGTCTGGGTCCTCATGTACCCATTCATACAGCACTCTACTAGATCTATACACTGATGGGACACACATCAGAGGCAACGAGGGGTTCAGTGTGTTGCCCAGGGACACTTCAGCATGTGACTGTTGGTGTAATTGAACCCCCAACTCTTGCAATGAAGTGCAACTGCTCTAACCACTCAGCCACAGCCGCCCCACAAACAATGCTCAAACTATTACTCAAAACTCAAAATATTACAGTTGATTTAGATAAATGGCTGTTCTCTTACTTTTTAAATCTTAATTATGATGTAGTTTTCTTACAAAGACATTCAGAAAAACAGTTAAGTCAGAAAGTGTAGTCAAGCCATTGCAAAGTCATTATTAAACAAGACAACTTGGCTGACAATCTAAAAAGGCCAACATATGGCAAACAGTTTGGCACTCATAGGCCACCCCCGGTGGGAATCAAGCTTTTGACTCTTTAACCCATCCATATGGCGTAATTGTATGTGCTAGCATGCATATGAAGAGTAAAATAAGCTCCTACAACCATGGCTCAGTGGTTCTACCTTGAAACTATAATGTACTAACAGTAGTCTGAAAAATATTGATTCAAACATTTACTTTTATGCATAACACACATAAACAACTAATCCTATGGACTTCTCAATGCTGTCTTATAAAAAATACTATAATAATAATAACATTATGCTATTAACAATATTTTCAATATTTTATAACAGTCTACCCTAAAAAGTCAAAAGTGTTTTAGGGGCGTTGAGGTAAAGTTGCTGCAACTACGTAGGCAGCAGAAATAGATATATACTTAATTAGCATATTGATAATTTCATGCTAAATAAAGTAAAGGTATAGATGGAGTTACAGCTGAGCCATTTAGAGATATGAACAATTTATTAGTAACTAAATATCTAAATGTGATTGCATCAACTCAAATAGGTTTTTAAAGGATCAAGCAATGCCAGAAGAGGAAGTTTGGCATCGCGTTCTTGCATGTTGTCTAAAATCAGAGCACTTCAGTTACTGTAACAAGCTGGACTCACTACAGTTAAATAATATCACTTGACCCCTAAATATTGAAGTGCTTTTTGTGATGAAACTCTTTATGTAATGAGTAATCCAAATATTTGTTTTACAGCAAAATGACGGGCAGTTCACGGTGATCCAGCTTGTTGGCATGCTGCGCGGCATCGCGTCAGGCATGAAGTACCTTGCCGACATGAACTACGTGCACCGTGACCTTGCTGCCCGAAACATCTTGGTCAACAGCAACCTTGTGTGCAAAGTCTCAGACTTCGGCCTCTCGCGCTTCCTGGAGGATGACACATCAGATCCAACTTACACTAGTGCTCTGGTATGAAATGTTTAAGACTTACCTTCACACACCTGTTCACTTTTTCTGGGCCTGTCAGTTTACTAAAAGAAGTTTTAGGTGCTTCTTTTTTTAACAAACAAGAACTTGTTTGACACTTGTATATTCCCCTTTAATGTTTTTATTATTTAAGGGTTAAATCAAACAATGAACCTTTGTGTTTCCCATATCAAGCCAAATATCATCCCCTCATTGGTTCTCCTTTTCTTTCTTCTGTAGTATTTTATATACTGCACTTTCCTCCCATGGGTTTTGTTTTATCCACCTCCCAGTTTGGATTACTATCAGTATTGTTACTGTGAGCAGTACCTGTCTCCAAAGCCAGGATTCTGTCACGGTCAGATTTCGGTCTCACCTAACTTGCTTTGGTTGTTTTTGTGTTCACAGGGAGGGAAGATCCCGATCCGATGGACCGCTCCAGAAGCAATCCAGTACAGGAAGTTCACCTCCGCTAGCGATGTGTGGAGCTACGGGATAGTCATGTGGGAAGTCATGTCGTACGGAGAGAGGCCTTACTGGGACATGACCAACCAAGATGTGTGTGCTTAACATGCCTATTGTTGTTTTCACAGAAGCTGTTAGGTTTTTTAGCCAAGGGGCCACCCTCAAACAGTTCCACACAAATCCTCTCCACAGATTTAGTTCTGGATCTCCGTTGTTCATTAACGCCTCACATTCCTCTGAGACAAATTTAGTCATTGGTATCTGCTTTCTCTTTGCTAAACACATGGGTTTTATATGAAAATTCCCCACACACTCACCACAGAGACCTAATCAGATAATTTGAAATGCACAGCAGTGCTCAGTGGACAATTTCTGCTCTTGACTGAAGCCTCCATTTTATATCTCCCTCTGGGTAGTGAAGGAGAGAGCAAATTATGGGGAGAGAGATAATGAAAATAGTTTCAAATTGAAAGTGAGAACACTAATGTGCTAAGAGGGACGAAGGACCTCAACAGTTATCATATTAGCAGCTCCAGATAGTGTTTCTGCTCCACCGGGGTCATCGTTTGGAAGTTTTGTGAATAAGATTAATCTGAGTCTGAATGGAGCTTTTTAATGACCCTGATAATGAGCAGGGGATTGTGCACCCTCTTCACAAGTATCCCTGGGGTTGTTCCTCTTTGTTAACTGTGCACCACCTCTGTGTACAAATGTCGACATTTCTGTAAGGGGCCATTATGGAGCGAGAACATTAAACACACTGGTGGAGTGCAAGTGGACTTAACACAAGTGGCATTTTACGACTCCTAAAACCAAAACAAATATAGTGATCTGTGTAATATTTCCCTGTTGGATCACATCAGTACACAAAACTGGAATGTACATTTAACTCTGGTGTGTATACATGCTAGTCATAGAAATACGGTAGTCCCTCATTTATTGCAGGGGTTAGGTTTCACCCCCCCCCCCCCCCCCATGATAAGTGATAAACCACGAATAAGATATACTATTTACTTTAGTATTTATACTGTATATATTTTAAGGCTTTAGAAACCCTTCACAAACTCTTGCAATGTTCTAAACTCTTAAATCTACATCATTTTAACAACATACATACAGCACTGTATATGTAGCTACTAAATTTTACCTACCCGGCTCTGCAGAACAAGCTTCAGCTGGATTACCAGCCACGTGTGTCCCACTCAAGGCTCTTCGCGGGCCGGTTGAAACAGATGAAATAAGTCCTTTTAAGCTCTGGATGGATCACCGGATCATTGGCCACACGCGTCCCGCTCAGGGCTCTTCGTGAGCCGGTTGAAAGAGATGAAATAAGTCCTAATGGGCTCCGGATGGAGCGCCGGACCTTCAGCCATGTGCGTTTGCTCGGAGGTTCACGTGGGCGGGCTACCAGCTCTCAAAATTCACCGATGGGTCTGGAAGTCTGGTTCTGCTCCGGGGGCTCCGATCAGACCAAAACTTTACTGTACCTCCTGTTTTTTCAGCTGAAGGAAATGGGGCTTCTGGGCTGGGCCCTGTTGCCTTCTGGGAAATGTGGTCATTATAAGCAGGAATACAGTGGAGGCTTACAGAGCGAAAACTACAAAATGGTCACAACTGTTCGAAACTTTTTACTTTTTCGTTAATCTTTTGCTGTACAGTATCTAGTTCTTTCCCAATCACGTGCGTAATATCAATTAATTATTTTATTTTTTTTTGTCCAGTATTATATATTATGGATTGTACGTTCACAAACTGCGATAGAGCGAGTCCACGAAAGTTGAACCACGAAGTAGCGGGGGACTATTGTACTGTAGTTTTCTTTAGAAATATCACAAACTCTAAACCAACAGATTAAATGTCACACTTCAAATGTCATTCTAAAAGTCACTGTATGATGTGTTCCATCACAGACACAATTCTCCTTCAAACTCTATGAGAAGTTTTTATTATCACAGAATTAAAACAGAAAATAAAACTCTTAAAAACAGTTTATATAAATGAACATAAAATATATGTTTGCCTGCTTTCTGTCACATTAAAAACGACACCCTCAGTTTTTTCTTGTGGACCTTTTGAAAAGACCCAAAACAAATTCTGATGCGGTGTTTTATGATGTTTTGTATTTTTCTAAAAAAACATGAAATCAGTATATCCCCTAAAACTGGGTCTTACACTGATTTGTCCTTCAGTTTGTCTTTTTATTTGTAAAGTCTCATTTAAGAATTGTGTATTTGTCTCCATAGGTCATCAATGCCATAGAGCAGGACTATCGACTGCCCCCGCCTATGGACTGTCCCAGCGCACTGCACCAGCTCATGTTGGACTGCTGGCAGAAGGACCGCAACAACCGGCCCAAATTTAGCCAGATTGTCAACAATCTTGACAAGATGATCCGTAATCCCAATACATTAAAGGCCATGACTCCATTATCTTCAGGGTGGGTAAAATGTGGGCTGTCGATCAAATTCGGATCATGTCCTCTTTCCATTCCTTTCTTTTAAACATTCCATTATATATTTGTCTTTGTGGATTGACCTTTTAGTTTAACATCAGTTTATAAATTATGAATAACATCCTGAAGTGTATGATGCTCTTGGGTTTTTGTCTGTGTGAAGGCTTTCCATAGTTAATGTGAAATTCGAGTTCTTGCGACAGTGTCATCAATGGCACATTTCACATTTGCCAAACAGCCTCTCTTGTTTCTCCTGGCGCCAAGCGGTTACGTAAATTAAAGCCTTTTGGTTTGATTGATCCAATCCTTCCCACGAAATGCTTCAGGCGAATTTTGGGTTGAAACTGTTTTCAAAACAGAGCGTTTTCAAGCATTTCTGCTCTGGGTGTTAGTTTGCTCCAAGAGCCAGAGTTTTTTTTAATTTTTTTATATAATTTCTTTTATCCTTCTCTGCACTTTCATTTGTGCCAGAGTGCAGGATCACGGGCCAGATTTTCCACAGACACTGAGTGGATACACTGGCTCCCTGAAGACTATCACCTCATTTGGAAAATACCCTTTATGAGAAATCAGTTTGGAAAATATTTTTTTAAGGATTAGGCTTGCGGGATTTTCTAAGTTCAGTCCAACATTCTAAAAGTGTAACATAATAATTCATGTTTGAATCACATGCAGGTGGTCTGAGCTGACTATGATATTAGAAATCTAATTTTGTATCAGTATTTCTAATGTCTCCTGCTTGTCTCCCCTTCAGTGTCCATCTCCCTCTCTTGGACCGCAGCATCCCAGACTTCTCCACCTTCAGCAGCGTGGATGAGTGGCTGGATGCCATCAAGATGGGCCAGTACAAAGAAAACTTTGCCAATTCTAACTTTTCCACATTTGATGTGGTGTCGCAGATGACCATGGAGTAAGTAATGATGATGCCTTGCATTTAAATTTGATAACTATAAAATTTTTTTTTTTTTAAACGAACACAAGATCTGGTTTTCTGATTCCAACTCTACAGGCTTAGCAGGGACAGGGCTCTGCCTTCGGCCTGGTTGCAATTTTCAGATCATAATGATGTAGCTGGGAGGCTGAGCAGCGTGCATAATAGCTTGAAGCTTCACAGCAGAGTTTATCTGTCATGTGTTTAACAGGACTCCATTTAACTTCAATTTAAAACTTAAGAAGAAACAAAAAAATACGGTTGGCATCTGAAAGAATTGAGAAAATGTATCGCATGTTTAGAAAAATGGATAAAAATCAGTTCATGTCAGTGGATAACAACATTACAAGAGGTCTGAGATCAGCCTACAGGGATTTTTAGCTTCAGTTCTTTTGACAAAACAGATGGCAATGTATAATCCAACAAATGTGATTACTATTGGGATTGAGCAGAAGGAGAGAGAACTTTATTTAGTGGATAAGAAACTGCTCAGTTTGCAGATGCTACTGTTTATGTTTTGAAAGATGTTTCACTAAACTATTAAAATTTGTGTTTATCTGTCGTTATAAGCCTAATTTTCAGTTGCATTAGGTGTGTGGGCTCAATGGCAAGACATTACTCTGGCTTTCAAACTTTTTGTTTGATTTCCGGAAGAACGCCAATAATCCAGGTAGAAAAATCTAACACAGTCAGTTTGTTTGGTGGCTCCTCAGATTGAAGAAGTCCTTTGGATGAAGGAAGAAACGTCTCAAGCAAAAGAAGAAACCGTCCAGATGACCTGACTGAACATTGTTGGATTTTTACCTGGATTATCGAGCATGAACTTTGTTCTAACAAAGTTGTCAGATTACAAAAATAAAAATTTAAAAAATGGTTGACACGTTTCATCTTTTATCCAAAAGACTTCGTCAGTCTGAGGAGCCGCACTAAACTCAGTCTATAGTGGAGCAACCAATTTGCTGGTGACGGCCAAAACTAGCTGTTCACATGATACAGGAGGACGATCAACCTAAAGACCGATCATTAATGCCCTGATGGCCGCTTGCTATTCACAGAGGGCTGAGTGATACTAGCAATAACAGCATTGTAAGAAGGTGACAATTGGACA